TTCCAGCACAGCCCTGACAGGCTGCACAGCACAGAAATGACAAACAGGCTGCTTTTAAGTTAAAGTGATAAATGTAGACTCAATAAATGACAAGGGATTTAATCAAATGTCAGGGTCAAAAGATGAAAGTGGATTTCACAGACAGTTTTACAATGGCACTTACTGCTTTAATATTTTGTATGGCCAATCGTATTAGGTATATTAAATAATAAGCTTTAAGATATTTTTACATTTCAATTTAGTGCCTAATTACTCATTAGGCACTGTAGGCACAGTCCCTAGGGCCTACGAAGATGGGAAACACAAGTGACTGACGAAAAACGAGCTGAAACAACATGCTTGCGAGTGACTCTAGGTGCTCCAAATCGCTATCTAGCCGCTGTTCTAGAAACTAGAAGTATCGAAGTGATGGTCGCTTGACTCGCTCCATCAATCACGTGGTTTAGCATTAGAATAGTTTAAAGTCCATCATGTCAATCGACATAAGGCAATTGGGGTTTACCCCTCTTTTTGCACATTTCGGAGTGAAAGTGCCTACGAACACCGAAATCCGGCCCTGGTTGAATTGCCTCAGTTAAATAAAGCTTAATTCAGTTTGCACAAGTTCAATACTCTCAGTTTAGCTGAATGGTTATACACATTAAGCACATCTAGAATTTTTTCACACAAATTAGATTCCCCAGTAATTTTCTACATCCACTCAGCTGTCTCTACTGTACAGGTAGCATGAGGCCCGAGTACCTACTACTCTGATACATTCATTGCCGGAGGCCATGTGTCGTTGATATGGTATGAGCTCTGCAGGGTCGCACAGCTGAGACAGCACTGATTGGAGGAACAGAGCAGCTCGCTCTGATGTCAGATCCCAGCAATCAGTGTTGTGTGGCAAACCAAGGAAACAGGGGCCAAGACCCACGGTGCTCAGCCAATGGTGGTCCTGCGCTTGAGGAATTCTGGTCACTTTCATCTAGTGGCATCTAAAGGCTCAAATAAGCACTGGACAGTAAATGACCAGCGCTCTGCAGGAGCACATTTCCTGGTGGAGTTGTTCCACATCCCCTTGTATTTCAAACCTGCTCTCTCTGGGAACAATAGTGGGAACCACCACTAAATAACAGGTCGGGTCCTTGTGAGCACAAGGTAAAGCCTGAATAGGGCACAGGTTTGCACCCTGTCACTTTCTTTCAGGCTGTGATGAAGGTAAATGGGATTGGACTGCCCATTCCACCAATCCTAGCAGGCCTCAGCCGGTGAGGAACCTGGGAAATGTGTTGGTCAGGTCTGAGAGAGACAATCCATTTATTTATAGCCAATATTTTGGGTGTGCACTGTTTGCATTAACGCTGAACAAAAATAAATCTCTACCTGAGGAGGGGTCTTGAAACATGGGGCATACCATGTGTGGATCTGAAAGGGGGGCGTCGCCAGGTTGAATGGTACTGCCCAGTCCTGCATCCTTGCTCAGAGACTGACTTCGGCTGAAAGTCGCTGCAACAGAAAGGTCCGAACAGTCATTTTGAAAGGTTCACCGTGTCTTTCAAGTAAATGTAAAAGTCTTACAATCTACTGCTTAATAATGTCAACCCACACTTTCTGAAAGACTTGAACAGTTCCAGTGAGTTACTTCTGGAATATTCAGGACTGACACTATTGCACTACTAAGGACTTGTCCAAAGTATCCTGGCTCTATTTTCCAATAATACATACAAAACCTTCAAGAAAACAGATACGACTCCAGTTCAGCTCCAAAAACTGCCTTTGGAAAAGGCCTTCCCCACAATATGCAAACCCAGGGATTAAAAAAATATTTAAAAGGGATGTTCTAATAGCGATCTATGAAAGAAACACATTTGGTTCCCAGTTCTGTCTGCTGTCACCGTTTACCTGCTCTGGATGTTTCTTCAGTGCTTTTACAAGGTGAGTTCCCAGCATGGCCCTGCTTCCTGAAGCTGGCACTCTGTGGACAGCAACAGCTCAGCCTGAATGCTTGACATTCTCTATTTAATAATACATTTTTGTAAAATAACACAAAAGGAATAAGGTTCCTCAGGTGAATCTATTATCCATTAACATTTTTCCTTTAACAATCAGTGTTGGTGTAATGATGAAAGAGGGGGTTTGTTTCAGTGAGATAGCTGGCATCCACCGGGAGAGAGACTCCATGTAAAGAGAAGAGGAAATCCAATTGGCTATGTGTAATCAATCACCCCTCTGGACTCGTGTGCTGATGTATGTCAGCAGCCAGGAGGAAAAAAAAGCCAATTTATCTGCATCAAGGCTCCTGCAGCAAAGATAAAGAGAGAGTGCAAAGACCAGCGTGACGAGAGTCCAGACAGCACAGGTGTAGTGTTATTGTGCTTTAAAGCCAGCAGGCAAGGGTGCAGCCCCTGTAGTAAAGAGGGTGTGAGAGTGAACAACTAGCTAGGCTGATGTCTGGGAAGAGTTAGTTAGTGAAAGGAAGACAGCGCGCGACTTGCAGCTGAGTCACTCCGGTCCGATATTCCAGCAGTACGTTACTGGAGGTGCTGACCTGCATCTGGCTGAGCTGGGCGTCGATGGCGTCCAGCAGGAAGTCGCAGTGGTCTCTGGGAAGCCGCGCGGGGCCCGAGCTCGAGCTGCTGGGCTCTTCGTCCAGCTCTGGAGGGGGGGGGGCAGAAAGAACGCTGGAACTGAAGTGGTCACATGGCTGCCGCCGGTTTCACCTTTCAACCGTTAGAGTAAGGCGCAATTCGATTTGCTGAAGTGTGGTTCCAGCAACACAAACCATGCCCTCCGTCGGTTTCATCTCCACTGGCCCCCCTCTCGTGGCGCAAGGATGCCGTGTCAAAGGACGTGACGCCCATACTCGCGGGCTCAAGTGTAACGGCTGGGGAAGGCAGAGCTTAAGAATTCTGCAGTGTTGAGTGGACTGGGGGTGCCCCCTCTCTCCCCCCACTCTGGGCAGGGCAGGTGTATCTCAGGGCTACTCCCACCAGCGCTGGGGGTACTGAAACAAGTGGGGTAAAGCCTCTTGTTCAAGGGGCAACAGCGGTGTCTGCACTGGGAACCCACAACCCATGACTGCGAAGCTCTACTGGACCAGTAACCACTGCCGCCACCGCTTCCCCTCCCTGCGCTGCAACATGTAATTCTGCAGGCTTCCATATTTCAGGTCGCATTTGACAGTTTGGGAGCTGTTGGCAGGGAAACGCTGTATATGCATTATCTTTATACACGGGTGACGCAGTGGTAAATTTCCCCTTCACAGTTCAAAGACGTGCAGGTGGGTTAATTGGTTTCTGGGAAAACTGGCCCGGGTGCGAGTGTGTCTTTGTGTCAGTGTGTGCCCTATGATGAACAGGCGTCCAACCCCAGCTGTAGCCTGCCTTGTGTCCATTGCTCGTCAGGATAGGCTCCAGCTCCCCTATGACCTTGTATTTGAAGAAAATGGATGGATGGATCTTTATACTCTCAATGGCCAAAATATTAGGAACTAAAATATATCTTTCAGTATGTCAATATTTTGCTGAGCAAAAGGTGTCTGGGATTCAGTTTCACACTCTACTTGTTCCACTGCAGGGCTGAGATCTGGGGATTGTTCTGCCCGAAAGGTGCTGGACTCTGTCCTGCTGCCCAACACAAGCCCCTGCTTGGCCTTTCACTTGACTGGGGCTCATCACCCATGTGGCCAGTGAGCGTGAACCATGCGTTGGTTCGCACGTAATGCCGGTGCTTTTCTGGGCTGGTGCTCGCTGTGCTCATCGGGCTGAAGCTCGGCGTGGAATAAAAGGAAAACGTGCTGTTCCCTCACCAGAGCTGAGGAGCTCGTTCTGTTCCTCCTGGTCCCCATCTGGCCTCTCGCTCTCCCTGTCTGCCATCGCCAGCTGAGGTGACCAGCTGCAGGACAGAGAACCACACACCATCTCATCATCAGCCTTTTCAGCTTGAAAACATATTCTACCCAGCTGTTACCAAAAGATATACCGCGGACTCCGGCTCTCCCCGCGGCTCTGTGCTGGATCGAAAAGTCAGAGAACGGATGGATCAAAAGATGCAACAACATCTCACGGATACACAGGGCAGCTTTTTGTTTGCAACATTTCATGAAAGTGGGAGGTGTGTGTAGAAATAACTCCAAACCCACATTCGTACCCCAAAGACAGAAGTCAAACATGGCTGTTTCCAGCGTTCCCAGAATGCCTGAGGCAGAAGCAAAGTCATAAAATCTACAGAAGCATCAGTCTACTTTGACCTACATGCAACTTTCTAGACTAACCCTTTAATGACTTTTATAGTAGTGTATGGTCATGACTTCAGTGTTAAATTGATTTGGATACTGTATATATGGCTGGGTATTTTACTGCAGTAATTCAGAGGAAGTATCTTGCTCAAGGCTACAACAGCAGTGTCTCACTAAGGACTTGAACTCACAACCCTTTCAGTTATGAGTTAAGAGTCCAAAACACGGCCCATGTTCGAACCTGTGTTGACATCAGCTCCAGTACAGCCATTCTTTTTTTAATTGCATTGAACACAGTCCCACGTGTAAGAGGAAAAAACTCTGGTGAAGGATTAAATTGTTTTAA